GGTTGGACTGGATGGCCCTTGGGGTCTCTTCCAACTCTATGACTCTTATGATTCTATGATTTTCTCTCTATTAGAGTGGAGAACACTCAGGGATTCTGGAGCTCCTATCAGAATCAGAGAAGACAAGGTTTTGATCCACTAAATCCAAAGCTGAGAGCCAATATGACGTAGTGGTTTGAGTGTTGGAATATGACTCTGGAAATCAGAGTTTGATTCTCAGTTCACCCATGAAACCCACTCAGTGACCTTGGGCAAGTCACACTCTCTCAGACTCAGGGGAAGGCAACGGCAGACCTCCTTTGAACAAATCTTGCCAAGAAAATCCCATGATAGGGTCACCTTAAGATCGCCACAGAGTCTTCTCTTCTTCTTTTCCCTCTCACAGAGACTAGGAATCCTATTCACCTGGATAGTAGTTGTCTTGCCACATCTTGTGGCAAAGAGTTCCACACCTTCATTATTTCGTAAGCAAAGAAACCTTCCCCCTACTACCAGTTAGTTTCACTGGGTGATCTCAAACTCAGAGCTTGGAAACATTAGGGACAAATTTTGTCCCACAGATCCCAGAATTCACCATGGCCATGCACTTCTTGTTTCTATTCACCATCACCATCACTACCATTTTCCTACACAATGCACAATTGTATATATTTCGATGCTGTGCCCCTCCCAAAAAAATGATAATTTCCCTGCCAAAGCAAAAATCTCAGACTCATTTTTTAGCTTTTCCTACATTTGCTTGGAAAAATCTGGTTCTCGCTCTCCCTCTGCCCTTTTCTGTATGTGTGTGTCTATCTTTTCTTACTACCAGCTTGAGAGGCATTGTGAAAAGGGTAATTTGCCTTAATACATATGTCAGAATCAAATTGTGGCACGCCATGCTATAGAGAGGTAATGAAATAATTTTTGGTTTAAGAAGAGGCTAATTCTAATAGAGCTTGCCGGAGCTTTGCATGATGTCTCTCTTGTACTTAAACCCTTTAAATATAGGCTAGCAGATCAATTATTTAGACGGCTGTATAAAGGGGAGATTCATGGGCAGAGAATGGTAGCATGCTGTCCAAGATATATACCTTTGGCTTAGAAATGGGAGATGAAACTGGCATGGTGGCAGGCCAGAATTTATTTTTCCCCAATGCACCCCTCCATTGTGCCAATTCAAACTTGTCTTGTGCAATTGCATTAAATTTGCAGAGGATACAAAACCAAGGGGAACCAGGCAGCTGAAATGGGTTTTTAAGGAGTGTAGCGGTTTTACAGGAATATCTTGACAGATTATATAAACATCGGAGGCCTGGAGGGAAAGGCAGGGTGGATACTGGGACTTTGGGAGATCTTTATCCATTTTACATGTGTTGGAGATGTCAGGCAAACTGTTCACTCAGCTCTTCTGATGGCTGGCACATTAACAAGAGCTAGGTCAGAAAGGGCTAGTGCGGAAAGGGATGAATTAGGAGGGCATGGTTGCTCTGAAGCTTTGCATTCTGTTGGGTTGGTATAGTATAAAAATGCAGGAGCACTTGGATAACATAAACTACTGGTGAAAAGCAGTTCCCTGCTGCCTTAACCTGTAAACATGAATCTTCTCATGTCATAACCATCACCATCACTACCATCCACATCCCACCTTTTCCCAATATTGTGATTCAAGACAGATGACCAAAGTTAAAAACAGTACTAGCAGAAGCACCTACAAAACCTAAGTAAAAACATACAGGAAGGTATTATTAAAAAGCAATCCAACTTTGTGAAGTCGTAGGCTTTCATGGCTGGCATCCATAGTTTTTTTGTGGGTTTTTTCTGGGCTGTGTGGCCATGTTCTAGAAGAGTTTCTTTCTGACGTTTCGCCAGCACAACTTTGTTGTTGTTATGTGCCTTCAGGTTGTTTCCGACTTATGGCGACCCTAAGGCAAACCTATCATGGGATTTTCTTGGCAAGTTTCTTCAGAGGAGGTTTGTTATTGCCATCCTTTGAAGCTGAGAGAGTGTGACTTGGCCAAGGTCACCCGGTGGGTTTACGTGGCCGAGGTGGGATTCGAACTCTGGTCTCCAAAGTCCTAGTCCAACACTCAAACCACTACAATCCAACTACCTATAGAATTAAAACCATTTTAAAATAGATACATCAAAAATACCACACTAAGAAAAGCCCCTGCAGTCAACATATTCAAGGGTATTGGTTGGCCAATAAAAGTATTGCTCCTGTGTGGATTTCGGCCCTTGTTCAAATAAGAGGCTGCCCTTTGCAGACAAAGCACACACCCATTCTGATGCTGATATTTCCAAAATCACAGAGTATATCTGTGTCCTTCGGTGAAACTATGGCTGCTGGTCCCATGGCTCTCAGCCTTTCTAATATGCCTTCAAAGAGAGAACTATATTCCA